TATCTTACGCGTATATTTATTTACCTTTTTACAGTTTTAGCATATATTTTTCGATCTATTATGGGACAAATAATAGTATAAATATTATGTTATTTTGTGATTAATAAATTTCATTTCACTAGCTTTTATAAAATTTTTATGAGATAACTTTAGACTCATTAATTTTTTTCGAAGCAAATACATGATCATAGACCAACATAAGTACATTAGAGTATGAAGAAAAATAAGATAAAATATGTAACACAAAAGATCGTTGTTAGTAGTTTAAAAATATCATAAAAACTCTGTTGACATGTCTTCTAATGTTATACAACAGTAATAGTACAACACCTGTTTATTACACGGGTTCTTGTTAAAAAATTATTTTTAAATTTTAAAATTAATAAAAAAATTATTTTAAATTTTATTTATTTAAAAAAATATATATATTATTATATATTTTAGAATGACATTTGTTCTATCGTTTCGAAAAAAAAAAGAATGACACTTGTTACTTGTGCAACATACTGTGTTATATTATAGTGACTTTTATAACTTATATCATATAACTACTTGAAATATAAATATTTTAATTAATAAATAATTTTATTTTTCTAATTATTATTAAAAAATAATTTTATTATTGTTATAAAGATAAATATAATTTATTTTTTTTATACATACGATATGGATGTTAAATCGAAGCTCATCAACAGATGATTAATTTGATATATTATATATGTAAAATTAATAAAAAATATAAAAGTTATTAACTTTTAAAATATATTTACAATTCAATAGTTATAATAAAAAAAATGATATTAAGATGTAATTAATAAATATAACATTACCATAAATAATCAACATATTTATGGATAGTCTGAACTTAATTATTTTTGGATTGGAAGTAAACTAAAATCTATCCAGTCCTAATAACGAAGTATGTAATTTTGTCACATAAAATTCCGAAGTATGCGAATCTGCCATTTAAACTCAGCATGTTCTGAATTAATATATATATAGGGGGAGGGGGATAGGGGGATTCTAGGTACAGATTTCACTATTTGCCCGAAAAAGTATTTCATTTCGTGAGAGAATGGATAATAAATAAATAAATAAATAAATGAAGTGCTTAATCCGTATTCATTTAGTATAATTAATCATACTTACATATAGTTAAATTAAATATTAGATACCTGTAGACTAAGCCAAACAATTTTATTTCCCTCAAAGCCCATGTATAAATTTTGGTCTCTTATTTTATTGTAAGTAAATAATGATAAATTTAATTTGACTTATTCTTCTATGTTCATATTTTTTGGGTCATGCCGGACCCTATAATGGAAAATTATTACATAAATGAGGCTCTTAACCATCTTCAACCAAAAAATTCATTCTAAAACTCATTTTGCAGAACTGTCACATCAAACACTAATTCTTCTCAAACCGACAAACTGATTCTCAAACCTAAAAAAATATTCCCAGAATATTCTCTTTCCCGTCAACTTTTATATTTTTCAATACTACCAAGTACCAATATATTTTACAACTTCAAAAATTATACCCATTATTATCTTATAATCGATTTGAACAATATATAATTACTTTACTATAGATTAATAATTCATACAGATAAAAAATATCAGCTTATCGGCTAATCCACAAAATATTTTCTTGGGGTATTTACACTTATGCTTTAATGAAGTGCTTTTATTTGCACATATACCAAATATAAAATTTAATTGCACTTATACCTAACTTAATCAAATTATTTATATAAGTACAATATAATTAGAAACAGATCAAGTCATAATGACTTACCATAACAGATCCCCATAACTGACGAGAGAAACATTTTTATGTCGGCATCTTTTATCCCAGTCTTCGTTTATTTCGAATATATACATGACATATACAATTTTATATACATACAAAAAATATAAACAGTATATATACGAAAAATATACAATATATATACCTGCAACTACACAAACAACAACAAAAAGTATAAATATACTACACATATAAAGCATATATATATATGTATATATATATATATACACATAAGATATACATCAAATAATTGTCGAGTTTGATAAAGTANAAAAAAAAAAAACCACGCCCACCCATTATTTCTGCCCAAAAAACGCGCACATCCCCAAAAAAATTCCATCTGAGAAGAGGACTCTTCTCGACTGGAAAACACACGGGTGAAATTAGGGATCGGGGTTTCTTTGTCATCTTTGTAATGGCTGCTTCATAGACTCTCAATATTCTAATTTCCAACCACCAAACAACGACCGAGTATCCACGAGATATCGAAGAAGGCCAGCCCCCGAAAAATCTCAAACTGTAGAAATCGAGATACAAACACCGACCTCACAAAAATTGGCCGTCCAAAGCCGCACCACGACAGTCCTCATAACGACTACAAAATTACTCAAGTCCCGTAAATCGTGACCCATCGAAAAAAAAAGAAGAAGAGAGATATAGAGACGAGAGGAAGAACAGACAAAAGGAACAGAGAGAGAGATATAAAGAAAGAGTGTTAGGATATCAAATTCCATTAAGTTAGGTAACTACTCTCAATAAATCAGTCTTAGTAATTTTACAAATAAAATAATAGTTTCATATACATGCAATAAAATTTCTGTTGTATCGTTCAAGGAGTAATTTTCTCTCTTTTCTTTTGATAGTTATTTAATAACCCCATGTTTAACAAACTTATAAATTTAGTTGGTAGTATTAATGACTTCTTTCTTTTTTAAGTTCAACCATGTAGAGTTTATTTTCTTATTCTTGAATTATTTTAGAAAGATAACGATCATGTTTGATTTTTTTACCAAAATTTTAAAATACTCTCATTTTCTAAAGAATATTTTAAAACATTTTCATAATTAATAGATCAATCTATTATCTACAGCACATGCAACGTATATATAAAGTTATAAACTAAATTTCAAAATTAATATGTATTTAATGATTAAAAGTTTAAACTAGAACTAACTTGTTTTATTAATTAAGACAAATAATGTCTCTCAAAATTTTCATATTATTAAATCATATTGTTAATAATCTCTCTATCTGAAAGTTTCTCTTCAATTCCGAAGTCTTACTCTCACATACAACTAAAATCTACAAATCTCAATCTCATCCTGATCCTGTCTTTTGTAAGAGGGATGTTTGCAATAAATCTCAATCTCATCCTGATCCTGTCTTTTGTAAGAGGGATGTTTGCAATCTATACGGTGGACGAAATGTCGCTAAAATCTATAAATCTCAATCTCATCCTGACCCTGTCTTTTGTAAGAGGGATGTTTTATATTATGTTCACGTTTTTCTAGTTAATTTAAAACCATTACATTACGTTATTAAAGGTAATCGCATTTTATTAAATATTACTAAAAACTATTAATTATTATTTGCATTAAATAGTATATGAAAGTTACATAAGCATAACAAAAATTCTATTGCACTTTTTTTAAGCTATTTATTTTAAAATTAATATTATTTCTTTTTCATCTCATAAGATGATTTATTTACAAAATTAGCTAATTAATTTTGATAGCATAGTCAAACCCCTTAAACAGTAACAACAACAACAACAACAACAATAGTATAATAATAATAATTAGCCGGTAACGATTCCTCAAAATTACAAAAATTATAATATCAATTGCATTTTATGCAATCAATATAGTAATTCATGTATAATTAAATAATTTATATCTATGTCCATCTTTCTTTGAAGCAAAACCTCCTCTTAGCAGCTCCTGGCTCTGGAGAAGTTGGATGAAAGTCTGTCCATCTTTCTCACAACACCTCAGAGTGATTATTGGCAATGGTCAGTCAGCTCTAATCTGGGAACACCCTTGGCTCCACTCTCTTCCACATCTAAAGCCTCAGAGAAGCCCCTCATCTTCTCCAATCATCTCAAAAGTCTGTCAACTCATGAATCCCTCAGATTGCAGCTGGAACATTGATCTCATCAGAGACACATTCTCAGCACAGGAAGCAGAGGCTATTCTCAGCATAAACAGTCAAGATATAGCAAAAAATGACAGATTCATTTGGGTACCAGACAAGAAAGGTGTTTTCTCAGTCTCATCAGCCTATACTCAGTTAATCCAATGCAAAATAAGCAAACTGGACATGCCTGAATCTAGTTCCCAATCCACATGGATCAAAAGATTCAGAACTCTGACATGGAAACTGAAAATAAAGAGAAAGTTGAAACACTTTATCTGGAAGTGTTTCAACAACACTCTTCTTGTCTGTTCCAACCTTGCAAAAAGAGGCCTTACTATTGACACAATCTGTTCCTACTATGGGGAGGTTGTGGAGTCTGTTGAGAACATTTTTTTCTATTGTTTCAGAGCCCAAACAACATGGAAGCTGGCACCACTGTCCTGGCCTAACACTAACCCTCAGACTCCTTGTTTCAAGTACTGGTGGAGGGACGTCTGCTCAACAAAAGGGCAGGAAGATGTGGACAGGATTGAGCTCACCACATACATCTTGTAGTGGCTTTGGAAATCCAGAAACTTGTGGATATTCAAAAACTCTTGGCTGCCTGAGAAGGAGACCATCAAATCAGCACTCCTTGAATGGCAGGAATTCTCCACTATTAGCTCTTTGCATTGCTAGTTCTTTCATTTTTTAGTGCAGGCTGTTTTTGGTTTTGTTAGTATTATTTGCTCTTGTTATGTCTATTCCTCCTGTTGTGTTATTGCCCATATTTCCTCCATGTTCCCTCCCCTGTGTTTTTCCTAGCTAGGTCCTTTGGTTCAGTGGCTAGTTATTCATTTTGTATTAGGCCTAGATAGTTTAGCTAAAGGTTTCCAGTAATCTTACTGCCTTTTAGCAAGCTATCTTGGTTTTTATTTGCTTATTTCCCCTAGTGGAACTCCTTTTTTGTATTGGCCAATCGGCCTTTCGAACATTGTATTATTGTATATTTGTTGAAGTTTATTTATATCTATCGCTTCGATCAAAAAATCTCGCGAGACCATTATATTATAATTCCTAGCTCCCCACATATTCTAATCTCTATGTCAACTCCACGTGAATTGTGGTGGAAATATTTTATCTCAATACTTTAATACCAACTGTATAGAGATCTATAAATGGTCTTCCCATTTCCCAAGCTTGAAACACCAACATTAATTAATTACTGATAATCAACCTCAAATAAGATTTGATTTTTTCTCTATGGCAGCTTTGTACATCAATGCGGCCACCTTAATAACCATATGCATCTTCATCATATCCCCTGTTCTAATCCTCCTAATATCCGCGACCCGTCTGTCGAAAACCAAACCCAAATCCAAAAACGGGTCGCCCCTAAACCTTCCTCCCGGGAGCCTCGGCTGGCCGGTTCTCGGCGAGACGTTGGAGTACCTCGGCACGAACTACAAAGGATTGCCCGGGAAGTTCGTCACGGACAGGATTCGAAACTACAAGAGTCGGGTTTTCAAGACTTCGTTGTTGGGGGAACGCATGGTCGTGCTGTGGGGCCCGGCCGGGAACAAGTTTTTGTTCGGAAACGAGAATAAGAAGGTGGCCGTGTGGTGGCCGACTTCCGTTAGGAACTTGCTCGGGACGTGCTTGGCGACGACCGGAGGTGCGGAGGGACTGCGCATGAGAAGGCGGCTTGCGCACTTTTTAAGTCCCGATGCATTCTCGAAACTTTATCTCAGAACCGTCGATCTCGCGTCTCGACAGCACTTAGACTTCCACTGGCGAGGTAAGTTTTAGGCTAGAAATTTGAAATATGTAGATTTCATATTTAAAAGTTCAATTATTGGATCCCTAGTACAATTATTGGATAATAAATTAATTATATAATTATCCAAAATTATTGGATCTTTAGTACAATTATTGGATAATAAATAAATAATATAATCGTCCATATAAAGAAATTATTGGATCCTTAGTACAATTATTGGATAATAAATTAATAATATAATAATCCATATAAAGAAAGTTGAATGAGTCTAGCACACCATGCGTCAAGTAGCAATTATGAATATTAAAAAGGATTGTAATTATACAATATATTTATACAGTTTTGCTATGAAGTCAATAGTTGGTTCTATATTGGAGTCAATCTTTTATATACAATAAGTAAACCATACTATATTAATAAAATTATTAGTATTTATTTAAGTGATCAGAGAATATAATATGATTTACTTATTATATATAGATTATTTGCTCAATTGTGGAGCCAACTGTTGAATTCATAGCGAAACTGTTTATTTATAAGATAAAATTTCATTCACTTTTGCAGTCGTTGCAGTTTAATCAATTTTGGTACTCTTGGGTCTTCGCCATTAGAGGTCGGAGGTTCTAAATGTTTAATCAATTAGCGAATGAATGGTTATCGAGTCCTCTTTTCCAACAACATCAAATAATTAGTAAATCTTTGAGAGAGATTTCTATAATTAGTTCTTTTCTCTTCCATCTCCTTAACTACAGTATGTAACATAAATTTTGTCTAAAGTAAAAATGTAATTTATTGTAATATGCCACTAACTAAATCCCCTGCATTTCTCTTCCTGTTTTTACACATACAACGTTAGTTAACAGAAAATCACAAATACAACTAAACTCAAAGCTTCATATTAATTTGTTTACTAACTAATTTGTTTGAAGGCAAAGATGAGCTAAAGGTGTTCCCAACAATCAAACTGTATTTATTCGAGGTGGCGTGTCAATTGTTCATGAGCGTAGACGATTCATCACTGACAAAGAAGCTCTTTTCCCACTTCAATATTTTCCTCTCCGGAATCCTATCAATCCCTCTCGATTTCCCGGGAACAAAATACTACCGCGGAAAGAGAGCTGCCGATGCAATTCGAAAGGAGCTCCGAATAATACTCGAGCATAGGAAGAAGGCCTTGGAACGAAAAACGACTTCACCTCCACAAGACCTTTTGTCTCATTTGCTCCAAACGCCTGATGACAATGGGGAGTTTATGTCCGAAAAAGTTATAGTAAACAATGTCCTACTTTTATTATGGGCCGGGCACGACACCTCGGCTTGCACGATAACTTTGCTGATGAAGGCTCTAGCCGAACATCCCGAGGTTTATGAGATGGTATTGAGAGGTCCGTTTTTTATTTCACCCCGCTTTTTTTTTTTTTATATGTTGATTGATTGCTTAAGAGTGAATATTAATCCATAATATATTGATTCGAATTTCGGAAAAAGCAGAGCAAAATGAAATAGCATCGTCAAAGAAGTCGGGAGAATGTTTGCAATGGGAGGATATACAGAGGATGAGATATTCGTGGAATGTTGTGTGCGAAACTCTGAGGATGTGGCCGCCTGTGATTGGTGCCTATAGAGAGGCTTTGGAGAACATAAGCTATGAAGGTTATGACATACCCAAGGGATGGAAGGTGAAGGACCTTTTTTTTTTTTTGTTCTATTACATTTTCCCCATCAAGTTAAGTTCTATGATCACACTTGTTACACGGGTAAAACATTTTTTCCAATTTGTACTATACATATTTTTGGACGTTTCAACCTATAGTGTTTAATTTGTAGTAAAATGCAAATATGAAATTCACAGATATTCATAATCTATATCTTGGACGATGTTGCAAAATTATGAATGTTCATGAAGTTCAGGTTGCATTGTACCACGAAAAATACTATAAGTTGCAAAGTCCAAAAAACACGTATAGTACAAGTTGCAGTCGATTGTTTACCCTTTCTTACCCTCCTATATAGATAAACTATTAAATGAAATTCCAACGAAAATATATTTGAATGAAATTCCAATAGATTCCAATGGAAATTGCAACAAAAATTAATATTTCATTGAAATTAGTTTTCACGTTGACGATTGTTTACCCTTTCTTACCATTCTATATAGATTATACATTAAGACATACATTAATACCATGTTTGTTTGGAAGACAAAGGTTTATGAAATCACTATTGCCACCCTAAGCTAATGATTTATTGTTCGAATCATGCAACAAACAACAGTTCTACTGGAATATGCAATCGATCCATGAGGACCCTAGCTTATTTCCGGACGAGACAAAATTTGATCCATCAAGATTCGATGGTTCGGGTCCCGTACCATATTCTTTTGTTGCTTTTGGAGGAGGACCTCGAATGTGCGTGGGGAAAGAGTTTGCTCGGCTGGAGATCCTCATCTTTCTACACAATCTCGTTCGAAGGTTCAAATGGGAATTAGTACTTCCGGAAGAGAAAATCTGTGCCGACCCCTTCATGACGCCCGAGAAAGGACTTCCAATTCGTCTCCACCCGCATGCGTAAAGCTTAAGAACGTTGAATTCGTGTTTGAATCTACAGTTTCAATTATCATGGCTAATAAAACAAGTCACCAATAAAGTTTGGTTAATTTTAGAAGAATGAGTTCTCCGTCATTGTATCAAGTTTATCGACAGTAAAGTCCTCTTGTTTGGTGTACTTTGTAACCTATGTATTAAATATCGTTGTGCGTTGTTTCTTGTTTCTAATAGGAAAAGACTACAGTCCCATCACGGAATGGTTCCGTGAGGGATTTTAGCCATAGATGGATCCTATTCTAGTTCTGCCTCGCTCCCATACTAGTTCCCATTAGAGTTTGAATCTGATCCCCTCTTCTCTATTAATATATATTACAGGCATTACTTCAGAAAGAAGCTCGTTGATTCCAAGTAGCTGTTGACCTCTCTCCTGTCCAGCCACAGAACAGTTCGCAGCAGGATCTTTTTCAGTCGTCCTGCCGCGGGAAGGGGGAGAGCAATTATCATAGCGCTTACCACTCCTGCAAGAGAGACCGATTCCATAGTTGTTAAGCGGTCAGGCTATACGGCTTTCTGCCTGCCTAGGAAACATTCTTTGGCACCCGCAACTCGAAGAAATCCTGCTCTTGATAACGATCCTCCATTAAAGAAGTGTTAGGAATGCGTTGCTCTGGTATCGGTGTCCTTAGGCTGGGGTCAATTGCATCGAACCTTGTCTTTTCTCTCTTCTAGTTCACCACTTGAATTGCGTATGTAAGGCCTCCCTTCCATTCCATTACAGTCGTTCTTAGAATCTGTATTCTATGTATTAGCAAGATAAGTCTTCACCTAGCTCCCAAGTCAAACTCAAATAAGGTCTGGCTTTGCCTTTTTCGATCCTGCTTCGGCCACCAGCTTTGTCTACTATATTTCCTTGAAGGCCCTCCTCTTCATTTCGATTCCTACTCCTGCATCGGGAGTCAGAATATAGGTCTGCCCCTGTCTGACTTCCAAATCAGTCTTATTGTACGCGTCTTTCCTTCTTCTTGGCGGCTACCCAACTTTAGAAGCGAAGCGAAGTGAAGTCATAGAAGCTTCTTTCTCTTCTGATTCAATAAAATATCTCGCTCAATTGCATCGTACTTTATATCTCCGGCTTCGTTGATTGACTGACGAACCTTCCTTCTTCTATGACTGAACTTCGTCAATTACATCGAACCTTTCAATCTCGCAACTTTCTTTTATTAGCTTAGGGCCGCCCGCACGCTTGTTGGGCTGTTGAAGGTCTTGCAATAAAATAAGAAAGAGATAATAACTGACTTGTATACATACAAAAATCAATCCAAATATGTCAATGATATGATTATAAATCCCAAATTGTTAGATCTTTCCAGTATAAAATCAAACGAAATAAGTCGCTCGCGAACTTGACTCCGTTTGTTAAGGTCTGGACTCATTTAAGACTCATTTAGTTAATGAGTCGAACTTGTAAAGCTGATAAATAGTGATTTGACATGATTTCTTTAACCTTTATCATATATCGGTTTATTAACGAAAGAAGCTCAAACTCTATAACGCACTAGTTTTTGTCCCGTGCATTTGCACGGAAAATTATATGATACATGAAAAAATAATAAAAATTATAAACAATAGTAAAAATAAAAACAAATTCATTGAAAAAAATTAAGAAAAAAAAATATAAATATTCTTAAACACTTCTTTATAAAACAACGTCGTGGTTTTTCTATCGTCAAAATCTCCCTCAGCTCAAATAAAAAACTTCAAACCCCACTGACTCGTAACTCTAAAAAGCGCCACGTATAATTGCTCATGACTAAATGCAGAGCTCTTCAGTAGTAAGCCGACGTGCGACATAGACTGTCTTTGACTCTTATTGATCATGTCATAGCATAGGAAACACTTCTTTATATTGTTTGTCCTCGACTCTTATTGATTGATAGAGATTGTCCTTGCTTCTTAATAAAAAAATTAGCATCTAAATATAAATGAGTAAATATAATATTAATTTTTTATATAAACAAAAAAATTAGAGTAATTGATAATGAGTATAGAATTACCCTTGCGGATTCAAGTTATTTCAACGATGTTCTTTTTATATATCTAAGATTTAATTTTTTTTTTTTATTTATATGAATATAAGCACATTTGACTAATTTTTATAAAATTTATTGAAAAAAGTTACTATTTTTTTTGAAACACTGATAAGATATTAAGATAATACTGTACTTAACATAAATGTGGGATTAATTAAAATAAATCTTTTTAATTTAGTCATTAACTAATTAAATTTAATTATAAAAAACCTTCTTAAATATGAGATTAATGAGTAATTAATTAAAAAAATGTAACTCCTTTTGGAGGGAAAGTGAAAATATTTTTATTAAATGGGATTAGCTAGCAATTATATATATATAGATGTGCGCACTACTTAACTATACACAAATTAATTTTGACTAAAAAATCCCTATGCTTAAGGCTAAAGGGAACCGCATGTGGCTAACCTCGAGATCCATCCATGACGTTGGAAAAAAGTTGACTTTAACCAAGCCTATGTGTTCAAAGAAAAAAGTGGACTTTTCAAGGGTCCATGTTAATATTCAAATATGATCAATAATTGTACGGAAAAGAAAAAAATATGATCAATAATTTAACATATGTTCAGCTACCAAGAAATGATATTTTTTTATTCACGTGGGTTTGAAACTTCTAGGTGAAAAGAGATTGTTTTTCAATAGCTCCAGTCAACATTAGTTATAGTTATATTAATCTTGGCCAATAATGATAACATTTTAAATTAATGATAATGGACAATAGAAAATTTTGTTCATTATATTCTAAAATGTCACCACAAACTATACATAAGACTCAAACCAAAAAGCAGAACATCTTCAACAAAACACACAATACTCTTAAAAAAAATGGATATCATCAACACTTTCCTACTCTGCTCAATCCTCATACTATGCCTCCACTTCCTTAACACAATCCTAATACCCAACAAGAAAAACAGGCCAAGGCTTCCTCCGGGCCCGACGGGCCTCCCGATTCTCGGAAGCCTCCTCTCCATCGGAAACCGGCCCCACGAGTCCCTCGCCAAGCTGGCCCAAGCCCACGGGCCCCTGATGACCGTCAGATTCGGAACAAAACAAATCGTGGTCGCCACGTCAACAGACACTGCCAAAGAAATCCTCCGGACCAACGACCGGGCCTTCATCGGCCGACCCAGGCCCGAGGCAGTGACGGTCGGAATATTCCACGACACGTCGCTCGTCTGGGCCTTGGGCCTGAGCCCGCACTGGAAGAAGCTCCGGCGGATTTGCAACACCGAGCTCTTCACACCTCAGAGGCTCGACTCGGTTATCGACCTCCGCCACCGAATGATATCTCGAATGATCGAACGGGCCGAGCAGGCCCGGAGGGCCCGGGATGCTCTGCACGTGGAAAGTTTGCACTACAAAAAAAATGTCATATTCCAACGAAAAATCCTACGAGAATATATTCCAACGAAAATTCCAACGGATATTCCAATGTTATAGCTTCCGTTGGAATGATTCCAACGGAAATTCTAACGAAAATATTCCGCTGGGATGAATTTTCCATTGGAATTTTAGATGGAATTTGATTATTCCAACGACTATTTTTCCAACGGTTTTTTACCGTAGGAATTTCCGTTGGACTATGCAATTTCCGTTGGAATTTTTATTTCCACCTCCGTTGGAAAATTTACCGTTAAAATCTTCAAAATCCAACGAAAATTCCAATGGAAAACTCATTCCAACGGAATATTTTTGTTGGAATTTCCGTTGGAATTCCATTCAAATATATTTGTATTGGAACTTTCCGTTAGAATTTGATCATTTTGTTGTAGTGTTGGTTTTCGAGACCGTGCTGGATTTTTTATCCAACACGATGTTCTCGGGAGACATGGGGTCGTCGGGTGGGGTAGGGGAACTGCGGGAGCTGATTGGCCGGCTCGTGGAGCTTGTGATGAAGCCTAACGCGGCGGATTACTTGCCCTGGCTGAGGCTGTTTGACGTGCAGGGGATTAGGCGGGAGATCACGCGGTTGTATGGTAGGGTGCACGAATTGTTGTGGGATGTCATCAAGAGGCGGGTAGGGGAGAGGGCGGGCGGGCCCGCGAGGCGCCGGGATTTCTTGGATGTGTTGCTCGATTATGCGGAGGAAAACGGTTCGAGTGATCAAGAGCTACTCATGAGAATATCATGGTTTTGTTCATGGTAAGAAATAAAAAAAAAAAGCTTTGTTTGTACCTCTTAGAGACTTGTTTTTTTCTTGTTATGTTCAGTCGAAATGCGCTAGCGCGAAAAAAGATACGGTTGGTTATGTTAGTAAAGTTTCCTCGAATCATAAAGCTTGATCTTTTACAAATACAATTCCAATGAATTCGAACCTATCGGTGTGGGGGCAATGAAATGTCAGATCACACGCGCGCACTCGTGTAGGCGTGCATTGATCCAATGGTTCAGACGTCTTCCCACACTCGTAGGGTTAAATTCACCTAACAATTAATCATCTTATATAGAACTACTTCTCATTCGGTCCTAACATATCGTATTCTAGAGATGCTAAACGGTCTTTGGCCCGACGGGCCGGCCCGTTTAGCCCAGAAAAAAAAAAGGTTAGGGCTTTTTATTAGCAGTCCGTTTAAATTTGGGTTTCTTTTTGCCCGGACCGTTTAGCCCGAAGCCCGCTAGAGCTAGCCCGTTTAACTTGAGTTGGGTAGTGTATATGTTTTTAGAAAGGTAAGGAATATGTCTCATGATTCCTTGTATATTACAATTTTGTTATTCTACTTCACACGTAATTATGAGTTATAATATAATATCATTATTTTGATAGATAATTATTAACAAATTTTAAGCCAATCAGAACGGCTAATAAAAAATAAATGAGACAAAGACCTAACACATAGAATATATTGATAGAATATAAATTCAGCAGTATGCTATATTGTCAAAATTCCCGTACCAAATAACTAGACAAATGGTAGTTACAAGTAATAGTTCGAACTTTTTTTTTCTATTAAAAAAAAAATATGTTATTTAAGAGTTTGTAATGTGTTCATATATAAAGTGTAGTTGTATATTTATAGTGGTAAATACTAAATAGCTGTTCCAAAAAACCGTTAATTAGGTATTGTAATTTATTATTATTATTATTATTATTATTATTATTATTATTATTATTATTATTATAGCCCGATTAGTCCGAAGCCCCCTAGGTTTAGGGTTAGGTCCTTTTATTGGTAGTCCGTGTAAATCCGGACTTTTTAGGCCCAGACCGTTTAGACCGAAGCCCGCTAGGGCTAGCCCGTTTAACATCTCTATCGTATTCAGTGTCTTGGTTTTATAGCAACTTGGCAAATGCAATAATGAAATATAGCTACTTTATGTGGAAATATGAATAATAATAAGTTTGTTATGTGAAATGACACACTTACCCTTATTCCTATATTTATCCAATAAAAACATGTATAATATTTTACACCAACAAACCGTTTAGAAATTCAATACATTGTTTATGTGGTTTATAAATCATTTCTAGAATTTCAGAAATTAATTATAGAATTCAAGATATTATATAAATATTCTAGAAAACACTAGAACTCTAGAAATGGTTTGGATGAAAAAGTGTGTAGGGGTATTTAAGTATTTATCATGGCCTTTTTCTCATTCCAATATGACTAAAGATCTTTTTTTTGTCACAACATACCTATATTTCATCTTTTNTGACTTTAAATTTACTGATATTACCACTATTTATATAAATAAATAAATAAATAAAATTGCATGCAGGACTTATTTGTGGCCGGGACCCACACGACCACCATGACGATGGAGTGGGCCATGGCGGAGCTCCTACGCAACCGGCCCGTGCTCGCCAAGCTCAAACGAGAAATTTCCGACATCAACATCCCGCCCGAAAAACTTGTCGAGGAACAAGACATACCCCGTCTCGCGTACTTAGACGCGGTAATAAAAGAAACCTTGAGGGTCCACCCGGTGGCCCGCTCCTCATACCCCACCTCACGGAGGAACGGGCCAACATCGGGCCGTACACAATTTCCGAGGGCACTGAGGTCCTCATGAACGTGTGGTCCATACAGAGGGACCCGGCCTATTTGGCCGACCCGACTAGTTTTAGGCCCAAGAGGTTTGTGGGCTCGGATGTCGACATCCGGGGCAGGGACTGCAGGTTCATCCCGTTCGGAACGGGCCGGCGTATCTGCCTCGGGTCAGGCCTTGCCGTGCGGATGGTGAGCCTAATGCTGGCTAACCTCGTGCACGGTTTCGATTGGGAGTTTCCAGACGGGATGCGGCCGGAGGACTTGGACATGACGGACGGGTTCGGGATAGTGTTGTGGAAAATGGAGCCGCTCGTGGCCATCCTGTGAGTGCTAGCACTCACAGTGATGGTTGATGGGGTTTTTTTTTCTTTTTTGGGAATTCGTGTTATCGAGTCAATTTTAATAGAATATTGTGTTTATATTTGTAAAGACCTTTTAAGACTTTTAAAAGACTTGTGGTATTCAATTGAGATTTTAAAAAGTCTTACAAAATCATAAGGTATTTAACTTATTTGAAACTATGATTTGTTAAAACTTTCTAAGTTTTGGTGGGATTTCTAAAGAAAAACCTTATACGAAATTCCACTCATATCTCACATCCAAACTTAAGACACTGAATTCCTCCAAAATCTAAAAATCTTACAAAGTCTCAAATCTTAAAACTTGAAATCCCTATTGAATACACCGCCTGAATTACACGGTTATTAATTATTATGGAATTTATAAGTATTTTAAATTTTAAAATAACTATTAAAACATATTATTATTTTTTATTTACAATGATATTCGTCGTCTGTAAGACCCGCTGACCATATTATAACAATTATTCGAATTCACATCGTATAATAGAGATGGTTTATAAATTTATTTAATTGCTAAATAAACAAAATTATTATTATATAATTATGAATAAAATATGATATAATTTTTATTTATAAAATAAATATAATTGTATTTTATATCATAATAAAATGTTTTTCTACAAATAAATGTTGTAGAAAAAAAAAACTCAGAGAGTTCGCAGTCATGTTTTGCCTAATATTATACCCTGTCATTTCTTCTAAAATTATATATTTATATAGGGGACGGATCCAATGAGACCACTCCTTAAAATGAGTACATGAGACTCAATCTAGGTCACTCATTTTGTCTAGATCAAAATCAATTAAAATATACATTAATTAAATAATAAAATAATTATTAGTTGACTCCGGCGTTGACCGTTGACTCTGGCGTTGACCGTTGACTTCTGGCGTTGATTTCCGGCAAAAATCGTTGACTTCCGGCGTTGACCCGTTGACAAATAACCTAGCAGCAAGAAATAAATAACCTAGCAACAAAAGACACTCAACCTTGAGTGGTGTAGTGGTTGCATTGCTTGTCTTGCTTCCATAGGTACCAAGTTCAAATCCTAAAATACAACTAACTTAGCAGCAGCAGCAAGAAAGAACTAAGAAAGAACTAACCTAGCAACTATAAAAAAATACAACTAACTTAGCAGCAGCAAGAAAGAACTAACCTAGCAACAAAAGACAACTAACCTAGCAGCAAGAAAAAAATAACCTAGCAACTTAAGACAACTAATCTAGCAACAAAATTCAACTAACCTAGCAGATAAAATAACTAACCTAGCAACAACAAACAACTAACCTAGCAACAAAACACAACTAACCTAGCAAGAAAGAAATAACATAACAAAAGACAAATGGTCAACGGTCAACGCCGGAAGTCAACGATTTTTGCCGGAAGTCAACGTCGTAAGTCAACGGTCAACGTCGGAGTCAACGGTCAACGCCGGAGTCAACGGTCAATGGTCATAATAATATTTAAATAATTAAAAATAAAGAATTAAATAATAAAAATAAAGAATTATTATTTAAATCAAGATCTAAATCTTGTGGCTAGGAATGAGTCTCACGTCCTCACTTTAAATAATGGGATGCATTGGAACCAATCCCTATTTATATATTATATTTTTAATAGTTAATCTCTTTCTTTCCATTTATTAATTATTTTTTTACATTTTTATACTTTGATTAATCTATTTTCATAAATATTCATATAATTTGCAACTCGATGTAGACCATACGACCATCGAATCTTGAAGGATCCAATTTCTTCGAACTCGCCGGAAAATAAACTAGGTTCTTTATGGGATTGCTTGCGATTTCAAATAGAACTGTTGTTACAAGACACCTACACAGATACTCATAAACTCACAATGTCATCTCATTCAAACTTTTCCTTTTATCAGCACCTTATGACAAAATAAAACCAAGTAAGGAAAAAAACGCCAAACTCTGCATTCAAATCCAAAGGACAACATTACAAATAACAAACCAAATCAAATTTGATTTACCACAGTATATACATACATAACCAAACCACCACACCAAACAATGGATTAATTGTCACGATCAATGCTGGCGAGCCAAAGTCACGGCCAACATAAGAATAAGCAAGACGAGCACGATAATCGCACCAAACGACCCGATCAATGAGCCCGAAGTCCGTTCGCAGAACGAGTTGTACTGCTGGCAAATCGCGAACCAGTTGGTCCGCGCGTTACCCTTGTGCGCAAGGTACACGATCGCGGCTGCAGCCGAGGCCCCGGCTGTAAGAAGTGCCAGCATTCCCTTTCACAAAAAAAAAAAAAAAATATAAATTTTCTCGATTATTCAATTCCGAAAAATAACCTACAATGAATTAGAGAGAGAAATGAATAAATGCCTAAATTGCATTTTTAGTTCTGCCGGTTTAACGCCATAGTCTCAAAATTCTAACATTTCGTCTCTTGGTCCTGTGATTTAATATTTTGCTGCAATTTCAGTCATTTGAGGACTTAAATTGCAATAAATTCTCGAATTTATAGATTTTTTATTAGCAATTTTAAATCTTATAATTTAAAATTTTATTGCAATTTCAGTCATGTAATTTAAATTTTTGTTGCAATTCCTCAAAGACTGAAGCTGCAGCAAAATATGAAATCAGAGGACCAAAAGACAAAAAGTTAGAACCTTGGAACTAAAATTGCTATAGCGTTAAACCAAGAAGACTAAAAATGCATCTTTGCCAAAATAAATTTATTGTTATATTAATTCATGCTTTATACCGCGTCAAAGAAAATGAGCACGACTCGACTGTTTTGCGAGCCGCTCCGTACGATGTGGAAGATCGACAAAGCCAAAGAGAGAAGTAAGTAGGCGCTCACGACAGCATTCGCCACCACGAAAAACCTGTTAAGAGGTCAAAATAGTTGGTAGAAAATTAGTGTCGAGTCGCATCATTATAATTGTCGATATTTCATTGCGAAGTTATATCAAAAGAAAAAAACATGCACTTACGTAAATGTTGGGAGGTCGTTATATTCGGCCCTGAACCTGATGAACTGAGTGAAAAAGGGAAGCGACTCGTCGGTTGTGGCCATGGCAATGGCGCTTGCTAGGGTCGCTACAATAGCGACGAGCCTGAGGATGAAGTCGAGCACGGCAACTCCGCGGTTCATCCCGGTTTGTGGTGCCGAACCAGAACCCTTTGCACCAATCTCAAGCCCTGTAGCCATAGTATATTTAATTTTCAAGATTAATGAACTATATGAGTATTTGTGCTTTGAGGATATTAGTAATGTTGGATGTTGATAAGAGCCTGATGGGGTGAGGAGTATTTATATGATTAAATGGGCATTGATAGTATAGAATGTAATGTAGTTAGTGAATTATTTCAGAACCTTTAAAGTTTGCAATAAATAATATTCCTGTGAATATTATTAATAAAGTCTACCTGCTACATTATATGTTGGATTTGGGGATCAAATACATCTTGATGGTAATGCAGTTGTTATAAAGCAGTTTGTACTAGGCCCATGGTATAGAATGGAGGGAAAATATTAATTTTGGGTCAAAGATATAAGGATAATAACTGAGTATGATATAAAATATTAAACTACCGAAGAATAAGATTGGTAGTTAAAATTATGCAAGTAACATTGTTTTTTGTTGGAAAATATATAAAAATAATTACTTTTTAATTGTGTTGGTGAAATTCGTAGAGAAAAATAAGATGAAATAATTTTTTTTTTAATTTTTTTTTTTCATTTTCAATTTTATTGAAAAAAAAAATTGTGTATTTATTCCGGGATTTTTTAAACACTGAGATTTTTAAGAAACATAATTTCAACTTTTCAAAACTTTTAAATGTCCTAAGATATACATTTGAGATTTCATATGATCTTAAAAAGTAATGTGGGTATTCAATTTATTTACCACTAAAATTGGTTAGATTTTTTAAGACCTATTGGGATTTTAAACACAAATTACATATACTAAATCCCATCTCATATTTCACCTCCTCCAGACTTGAGTCTTCAGTTATCGGGGCTCGATAAGAGCTTGACTTACCAAGTGATGTTTAGCATATCGGCCAATGCAAGAGATTTCTAGTTGGACTTCGACTAGGCACTCTGTCAAAAGTCCGGTTGTCGTTATACTCGAATGAGACAATCTTAATCGAGTTAAGACTGAGCTTCATGACTTCGGATAAAACCTCACGAAATAAGACTGAGTGTACTGAGCTTCATGACTTCGGATAAAACCTCACGAAATAAGCCTTACGAAAAGCGAGCACTGCAGTAAGTTAGCCACACGTCACAAAACCGAGCCTCCGAAGGGTGGTTAGAAAGGAATTTCTTATTTCCAGAAAATGCTCGTCTGGAAAAAAGTTCAATCCTCAAAACTCAGACTTCGTCCTGAACCTGATAGATGGTGGCAGAAAACTACAGTTTGGCCAAAGTGATCGGGAACAATTTGAGGCTGCACGAAACACCCTCGACTTACGGACAAACATCAAATAACACTACTGTTTGAGATTATGAGAAAAAAACTAAAAAAAAAAAAAAACTAAAAAAAAAAAAAAAGATCTAATGTCTATAAGCTGGGAAAAACTATATGAAACATAATCAACTGATGGTATATAATTTAATTTAGAACAAATAACAAATGAGTAAGCAATGATCTTGTGAAGAAGAAGTTCTGTGTGAAAATGTCAACTGTCTGGGGAAAATGCAGTATAATAGTGAAATGTCAACGACTCAACAGTGTGGTGAAAATGCAATAATTTGATTTTTAAGACAGATATTAATGTGCTATTTATGAAGTACATGACTTTTCACCTATATATGAATACATGGTGAGCAAGGTTAGGACTTGAGATCATTCTAGCTTGACAATTTGGAAAACAAGGGCAAAAAATTTAAGTAGCTAGGATTTAGCTTGTGTCTTGTGATCACCTATGACACTCAAATGCACAGAAATAATAAATACTCGTTTACGATATCGAAATCGAAGACTACATTGCCTACTTGTGTTCTCTGTACGAGTAAAATCAGGTTAGGGGCGTTGTCGGCCGGAAAATCAACTGTCGTAAATCGAAGTATAACGGTGTGCCGGAAGCACAGCTGAATATTCCCTCTTTCACGGTCCATCTCGGTTACAACGGACAAGAGTATTCGAGAACAGTGACTAATGTAGGAGATGCCAAGTCGACTTACCGCGTTGAGATCGAGAGTGTTCCAGGCGTGAATGTGACGGTCAAACCTACGGTACTTAGGTTTACTAAAGTGAATCAGAAAAAGGAGTATAAGATCTATTTTAGCCGAAAAGAGTTCGTTACAAATGGATCTTACGTTCAAGGATCGATTGCCTGGGTTTTCGGACGGCACACTGTTCGAATTCCGGTATCTGTCCACTTGGTCCTGACAAGAAATGTATGAGCAAAGTCTTAGGGAACTTTTATGTGCGTGCATAAACCTCAAGGGACAGCACCTTTTGATGCAGAATTTTTCGTTAGTGGTTATATGAGAATAAAGAAGACTCAGATTCAGAGATACAAATGAAAATCTCCATCAGATGGAATCTTGATTTATGTTTTAGGCTTCTAGCTCAACTTTCTTACCATTGATAGATTTTGAAATAATTGAAGAAATGTACTCTTCTTAATGGGTTGGCTTCATAATTGAACCAAATTAGATACAAATTCATGATAATATGAATACTATCTAAACAAGGTGCTGATAAACAAAAATGTTTGAATGAGATGACATTATGACTATATCTATGTAAGTGTAAAATATTGTTATATGGTAATAGGTTTTCCGTTCTAATTTAATGCTTTTGAATCTTATATTTATGTTGCGAGGATCCTAGGATCAAAGTAAATCGTAGCCCGTGTGCTGCAAGCAAGCTTATTAATAAGACAGTTAATGACACTACAGAGTGTGTTATTCCTTCTAGGGAGAGTTTCAACTATACAAAAATCAGCATGTATTTAATCTTTAGAGGTAAAGGTATCACCTATAATGTAATGAGAGTAGTGTACCAAACTTCCCCTAAGCCCTTAGCTTCACAAGTACCTGCACACCATAATAAAGCATGAAAAAATTGATTGAAATTAATGCCTACAAACCTCAGGAATTCGAAGGAGGGGGAAAATGTAGCCTAAAATGGGTACAATTTTTTGTGTGCTCTGCAGCTTGAAAATTTAATACAACAGTTCAAAGCTAAATCATGCTCTGTATCCAGTTCAATGACCACAAAATTCTTGTATGAGAAAGCTTAACCATTAGACTGATCAACCGCCATACTCTTTTAACAAAAATACATACTTATGGTATGAAATGTCAAAGTTTCTTTTATGTTTTTTTTTTTCTTTTTTTTTTTTTTTTTGAGTATGACATTTCAATTTGAAAGTATGCAAATCTGTTGAAGAGGTATGGTTGGTTGCCTAACAATACTTAAGACGCTTCATAGGCAAATGTATGAAAACGGAAGATAATAACCCTCTTACCATAACTTCTTTCTCACAAATTTCGACAAAATAAAAAACTATCACTACATCGTATTCTTTGATCCAAGGAGATAGTTCAATGGTATATCTCATATAATAATGATGGTGATATCATCTTAATACGAACGAGTGAAATTCAATCTACTTCCAAGCACACAACTCTGTGTTCTTTACACAGCTTTGCAGCAACAATCAAAAGATCTCAAAAACAATGGCCAAATAACCTCACTCTTCAGTGCCCTCATGAATGCTTATGAAAGCGATTAGCTTGATATACAATGAACTACAAAAAGATATAGAGCAGGCTAGCAGCCTATCCGCATGTGCATATATGCACACAAAAATTTAAAATTTAGTATTAAACAAATATACGGCAATCAAATCAACTAAACACTGCTTTCTCAAGCCCACGGAAACACAGTAGAACAAAATGAACAGACCTATGCAAAATAGACTGCATTGGTCCCAGTCGATAGAGACTACTTGACAATTCCGCAGAGCAAACATTTCAAATAAAAGAATCATGAGTCTACTAACCCTCTAAATTGGACAAAAGCAGTTTCCCAATCTCAATTCTAAATGATCTAGCCTTCCACAACAAAAATCCCCTTCAGCCTTAGATTACGGTAGATAAAGAAACCGATCTAATTATCATGACTTTCCAAGCATCTAGCTTCAAAAATTACCCAGTCACCGAGTCAATTAACTACTTGTCCTATAATTTTAAAGTATGATGAAGCCCCACAACCCCAAAACTTTGACCTGGTCAACCAAATCCAGGTGGCACATCAGGATCTTCATCACCGGCATCTCCTGAGGTCTCATGCTTGATTATAGAAGGAAAACCAGGCGGGGCATCACAGTCCATATTCTCAGCCTCTGACAAATTCTCCACGTGCAAACTGTCTCCATTGTGTTTTTCTGAGGCAGACAAACTGTTATTGTCTGGTTGGTTCTTTTGGCTGTTCATATTTCTCTGGTTGACATCAGTCGAACCAAATCCCGGTGGCTCGTTTGGCTCTCCATCTGATAAGACGCCATTTTTTCCAATAGCTTCAGCAACCTCACCATGATTCTCACGTTCGTTTCGAGCTGAATGTGAATCTCTGTGAGAGGATGATTCACCGTTGTCTTTCAAACTAGGATTTGATAATTTGTCGTAAACTGATTGTACGGTTTCTGTTATCTCGTTTTTCATGCCATCAGCAGATCTGATAACATTCCAGACACCATCGGAAATTTGGCTCATCACTTTGTCCCTGAAATAAACAGAATTCGAGTCATATTTTACGATCTGAGAAATTCAGCATGTTTTCATGTGATTATTACGCATTGTCCGTAGTTAGGTATAGAAAAGTAATTGTACCCAATCTCTTGGTGTATAGCATCAGAAAGCTGCCGCGGTTTCAAAGTTTCAACACCGGGGCGATTAAGTGCAGCCGATTGCTGCACCATTGATATAATACTGCTTCGTAGTTCTTCCTGAGGAGAATTAGAGAAATCGAGCAGCATGTATCAGAAAAACAAGGGCTAATGGTGAGAAAAAGCAAAAGGGAAGGAGAGTTTATCCAGCCAGGTCTTGTATTGAAGGAAGTTCAAACTCATTCACCACCACTTCCCCTTGCTTAAAATGATAATTAAATTGGATTATCAAAATCACAAATAACAACTATTTGAACAATCTGGTTGTAAGTGGTAAGAAACTCAACCTAACATTTTAATGGCAGGAGAATGACGAGAGTAAATGCAAACGCAGACAAAGATGGCTGAAGGCCCTTAATCAATCAAAAAAATTTCCACCTGCCCACAATGTAGAAGGGGGTCTAATTTGTAACTTTCTCCAGATGAACTAATATTTTGAGAGGTGTACATGTGTTACCAGCATCGATGCACTAAACGCAAATTAGGTATTATATGAGTTCCAAACGTAGTTTAATAGAACCTGTATAAGTCAGTTGTGTATAATTAGTTTGAAATATTAAACCCAAACCACCAACACCATTAGATAATGTATATACTCCTTAGTCTTAGGCAATTGCCAATGATGTATGTCCTTCTGTCAATCATAGCAATTCTTTTTCAGAATTCTAACATGTCAAACAACTCAATATAATGCAGAAATAAACAGTTATTTGTTTCTTCAAAACATAGATCATGAGAACATAAAAAAAACTCTTGATTGAAAAAAGTTCTCATGGCAATCTATGTTTAGAGCTGGTTAATCAAAAGAGGACAGTTTTCTTTTCCCTCATATTCAGAGGAAATGTACAGACCATGTTTTTCAAGACTCAACCTTTATCAGCCAGTTCCAAAAAGGCAGCATAAGTGAAAATCTTACAACTTCAGATTAGCATTTTCCCCAAAAAAGCCGTTACATAATAGAGGCCAATCACCGAAATTTACGTCTCTTTTTTCGTAGTATAAAAATCGGTTTAAAGAATGCATAGAGAATGGAAACAGAATTGACACATTTGAAAACACCAAAGAAAACCCATGAAAATTTATCTATTCGGAACGCATATAAAACATGCAAGCAACACCATACACACACATATGGATAAGACAAAGTGCACAGATACACAAACTCACATTCTCCTTCAATTTACGAATGATTTTGAGGCGCAGGCGATCGAAATCACCGTCGTCTTTCAGCTTCGAAATCACATCCTCGGCTCTTACACGGCCGGCGCCACCGTTAACACCAGTATTTTGCATCGGTGTCTGTGGACCCACATGCGAAGAGCTACAGATATCCTGGTGCGCGCGGGATTCGGAGATTTCCCTAAAATAGAAGAGAGGTAAGAAGCTAACAACTGGGCAGTAGAAAAAGATCCGATTTTTCACTGACTCTTTAATGGATCTTTTGGTGGGTTAACGATTTGCTTTGTGTTCCAGCTACAATTGGAGGTCGAAGCCGCCATAGCCCACAGAGTATATGATAATTGATGAGTTGTGAATTGTATCAGCGGGTCGACCCGTCGGGTCAGCGGATATGTTCAGGTCACATGATTTTTTATTTACTTTTTTTCNTGTTGACCGTATAATGTGATTAGATGTTATTATTGTTGTTACATTTAATTTTTTTTTTAAATAAAAAATATATTTGAAATTCCTAAATAAATAATAAATAATTTACAAATAAAAGACGTACCAAAATACACATTACATCCAATCAGATAAACGCAATTTAAAAAAAAAAATATTTCAACTCTTTTAATTGTAAATTTGGTCTGCAAAAAAGTGAAAGAAAAATAATTAATCATTATATGTATAGACTCACAATAATTTATTTATATCTGTGCAAATGCATAGGTCGAATACTAGTTATATTAAAAACACATAATTATACTGAGAAGGCTAGAATCAGCCAAACAGTTGAAATCATCAGCTATAAAGTCGAGTCTAGTGAGAGGCCTAACCCGAAGGTCGCCAATAGCCTAAACTAGAAACACAGAACAACACATCTACAAACAAAAGCTACAACTCCCACAAATGAAGAAAACACGGAAAAACATACTCCCACGAGGAGAAAGCACAAAATCAAAAAACCTACAACACACAAGCACACAAAAAAGAAACAAACAAACAAGAAACAAAGGAAGAAAACTAAAAGAACTACAGCCCTCCCTTCCATTCGTGCGCACTCCGCATCCGTAGCACTCGATTCAAGACCCAAGCGACTCTTCGACACTGAAACCCATCTGACAAGATCGACGACCTACCGAGTGGCCGCCAACGTTACAGCTCCTGTAGACCCGCGATTAACTCCACCCCCAGCCCACCCCGAAGGCCACCGAACCCGCACAAACCGCATCGGGAGCCGCCACCGGAGGACCCCTCCAAGCTCAGCACCAGGGCGAGAAGAGGAACGAAGCTCGAAATTAAAAGCTTGTCTCGACCCCGGCCACCGATGCACGGCAGCCGGAGCCTGTCTTGACACAATCATCCGCAAGCCCACAGTCCCGAACATCCCCCACGGCCAACCGGGTAATAGGCGAAATGCCGCTGCTGGAGGGGTAGACGATCGGCAAGGAGACGTGACTACAACCCAAGAGCCGAATCGGAGCAGTGGGGGCGATTTGCCGGAGGAAGGGATAAACAATGTTGTGTCGCAATTGAGTATATTTTTATTCGATAAAAATATATAGCTGTCGGAGATAAAATTGTAAATTTGGTCATGTGGTTTGGGTCAAACTCACATTTGGTACAAAAAAATGCATTTGTGGCCTTTTATTTATTTATTTTGTTGCAGATATTGTCTCATAGCCGTTAAAACTAATAGGGTTCGCGTGATGACGTTACCAACTTTTGGTATCCATCGTATGTTGCAATGTTTAATTCAAAAGTAGAAAGTTGACATAAACAATCAATTTCATTGAATATTAATCTCAAATCATCATAGAACATTGAAGGATTCTCGAGAGAGAAGAAGGGAAAATTACAGAGCGGCTAGTCGAGAGAATGAAAGTGGAAAGTGAGGTTTGTTCAGCCCTAATTGTAATATTTATACTTGTATTATAAATGTAAATATGACATGTTACAAGGGTAAAATAATAAAAGCATTATAATATCTAATATTTGATATACTAGCTCCAAACATTCATCTAATTTTATTTTTCATTTTTAATGTCATTTGTTTGAGATTTATTTATGTTTTGATTATCCCATCTCCACATCCAACTAACATAAAAAACATTCATCTACTTATATTTTTTTTAGATCCTTTGTTCTACTTTTGTTGCATCTTTCTTCCATTTTCAATTATTTATACCTAATCAAAAATTGCATTTTCATATTCCATCATTTCATACTTGTTTTTCAATTCTGCACCATCATAACAACAATCTTAAAACAAAAAATTAAATTATTACATTTTTACATCATTTCATCATTACAGTTCTGACATTAATTTCCCTTAATTTCCAATCCAAAATTGACATCCCATTTTTTCGCAACATTGAGAATTTGCACACAAGTCTCCATCTTATCTTGTTTTGGAATTCAATCCTGTCTCCTGAAGATTTGCAAAATGAATCAATTAAATTGCTTCATTATCATGAGCATACTGAATTAATATGATTTATTTTTTGGACATAAACTATGTAATGGCAATTAATTTTATGGTTAGACTTTTATATTTTTTCAATATACATACATACTTTTAAAATAAAATATTATATTTTAGAAGATAAAATAAATAAAAATATGGTATTTCATAGCATAAGTACACATAAAAAATATGATGTTTATATTCCTCATACGAAATTTGTGATGGAACAAATTGTAATTCCAAAGTAATTAATAAGATTACATACACATGTTATATACATAAACATATATATATTGAGACTGATTCTTATTTTAACCAACATTAAACATTCAAACTCTATTCGATTTAGCATTCAATGTTATTGAAGCCTTTTCCTTTTTGAGTTGTTACTCAGAGTAAGACCGACAAAATATTGAAATTCCCCAAAAGGTATATTTTTTAAGACTTTAGTTCTTATATTTAATATGAAATATATAGTTCTAAAGAATGGGTCTCAAGTCTCAACTAGTCCTAAATATTTTCCATAATTTTATATTATAAACCCAATTTTATAAATTTCCCGCAATGTTTTATCTCCATCTACAGTAGATTTCCCGGGAAATAGATTTGATCCTCAGATCCACCGCCGCATCTCACCCATCAGCCACCGGCAACCGCCGCCCACCGGCTTTTCAATCCGGCGGAGCCAATGGAAAGCCCGAGCACGAGCTCGAGCGCGAGCGCGGGCGCGGGCGCACCCTCCACAGAGCCCAAAACTCCGGCGCCGAAGCTTATCAGCTCCTATCGCCGCCCCTACGTCTCCCGCACAATCTGCGGCGATCGGTTCATCCCCAGCCGCTCCTCCTCCAATTTTTCCCTATTCAACCTCCCTAATTCCAGCTCGCAGGTCTCCTCCAGTGATTCACACTCCGCGTACACCAACCTCCTGAAGTCTGCCCTTTTCGGACCCGAATGCGTCGCCGGGGTTAACGGGATTCAGCCGTTGACGCCGGAGAAATCTTCTCCCGGCGGGAGATTTGGCGGTAGGAGCAGTGATGGTGGTTTTCCGCAGGTTAGTCCTAATTGCAACATATTCAAGTACAAGACCGAGACGAGGAAATCTATGCCTTCTCTTTCACCGTTTGAGTTTGATGATAAGCTCCCTGGGGTGTCTCACAGTCCTGTTAAGGCACCAAGAAAAGTTCCACGGTCGCCGTATAAGGTAGGATTTGCAATCTTTTAGGGTTTTCAAGTTCTTTCCAGAATTGGGCCTTTTCAATTTGCTTGTGATTCGCTCTCAGATTTGGAATCAGGTTTATGGGTTTTTGTTTTATTCATTTCGTTTATTTGTTTATTTTGTTGCAGTGGTCTCTTTTCTGTATGCTGATACTTGAATTAGTAGTCTAATGTTCTATTGCTGTTTTGTGGTTCTTCAGTTCTGTAGCTGCATGTTAATATACTTGCATCTTGGTTAATGATGGTTTCACTGTTGTCTTTCTAAGTTCTGTTGCTTAGTTCTGCATATATTGATTAGTGGATTCATCATTTTCAGATGTTACAAATTTAATCCGTTTGCGATTTGACCAATTCATTCTAATTGAATTTTACATAGGTTTTGGATGCGCCTGCTTTGCAAGATGATTTTTATCTCAATCTCGTAGACTGGTCACCACATAATGTGCTGGCTGTGGGGTTAAGCAACTGTGTCTATCTATGGCATGCTTCCAGCAGCAAGGTAAGAATTCATTCTCTCTCGATAATCTTTCCATTCCTATTCTCTCACAAATTGATGAAAGTGGGTGTTTTCATATTATTGCAGGTAGTGAAGTTGTGTGATTTGGGAGGTGATGACAGTGTGTGCTCAGTTGGCTGGGCACACCGTGGTACACATCTTGCTGTTGGAACTAATAATGGCAAACTCCAGGTATGTGGTTAAGCTTCTTTCTGATCCCTTGTTGTTTTACAAAAATACTGACTGGATTCAGAGTATTTGATTTTTATGATCTAAGTGGATTGTTGGATATATATGTGCTGGAAGTAGAATCATACACTATGTCTTAAGTATTTAAGTTCTAAATTACATGCTTCTGCAAATTCTATTTGATTGTTGGTTTTGTTTGTATCTGTATTCATTCGTATAAATCGTATCTCATGAGATATGCTTAGTATTGGAATGGAAACCTTACTTAGGTAACACCTAGACTTACCCTCTAATGGTTGTTTAAATCCAAAATTTTGCTTGGGTATTTAATACCATAGGCAGTTGTGAGTTGTCCCAATATTTATTGTTGGTAAGCGAATTGAATGCTTTTGAAAATTTGTAGATGTGAAATTTGCTTTTGAAAGTGAATTTGGAACATGACATATCATGATGACAGCTGCTCTAAAGAGGGGCTTGAAATGTATAGTGTTTCTTGTGGCTCATTCTGTTTATTTTTTCCATGAAAATAAATTTAAACTTCACCGATCTCTGCAAATGATTATCTCAAATAGCAGAAAATATATGGAAAAGTAAACAAGAACCACAATCATTAAGCATAATGTAATTTGCGTGCAGTTATGGGATGCCTCTCGTTGCAAGAGGATCAGAACTATGGAGGGACATCGGCTTCGAGTCGGTGCCCTTGCCTGGAGTTCATCCATTTTGTCCTCAGGAAGCAGGGACAAAAGTATTCTTCATCGTGATATACGAGCTCAGGATGATTATGTCAGCAAGTTAACCGGACACAAGTCAGAGGTATACCTACCTTCATGAATTTGCTTTTGGTCGAGCATCTCAAAACATATTTTTCTTCTATTGCAAGTATTACTTCCATGTTATGGTCTTATGAAGATGCTTTGTTTGTAGGTTTGTGGATTGAAGTGGTCTTATGACAACCGAGAATTAGCATCTGGTGGAAATGACAATAGAGTAAGTACTCTCCAAATTGATTTTTTTTCTTTTATTTTTTACCGATTTCATATCTTGTTTGACTAACCGATTCTATTCGGTACGCCTAATCTCTTGTAGCTTTTCGTGTGGAACCAACATTCGACTCAGCCTGTATTAAAGTACTGCGAACATACTGCAGCTGTAAAAGCTATTGCATGGTCACCCCATCTTCATGGGCTCCTTGCTTCTGGTGGGGGCACTGCTGATAGATGCATTCGTTTTTGGAATACGACTACCAATACGCAACTGAGCTGTATGGATACCGGAAGTCAGGTAAGTTTTAGTTCAATTTATCTAGTCTACTCAGCCTATTGAAATTATTTTCTATTTTAATAAACAAAAGAAGAAAGAAGTCTATTTTTTTTACGTTTTGCCTTATTTTATCATTTATGAAATCTCAGATGAAATCGAATGCTTAGAGGGGATATAATGAAATTCTTTGGTTGGTTCTTTCGATAAAATAAGGGAATGATTCACTTTTTTGATTTAACTGATCAGGCGAAACGAAACTAAAGAATAATCATTTTGTTTTTGTTTTTCTACTCAACGAACACTCTACAAGTAAATTATACGATAGCCTAATGTAATAATTTTATGACAGGTGTGCAATCTTGTGTGGTCTAAGAATGTCAATGAACTAGTGAGCACACATGGCTACTCCCAAAACCAAATTATAGTTTGGAAATATCCGACCATGTCAAAGGTACTACTTTCCACAAAGCATGTAGTAGAAAGAAGATCGAAATAATTTGGATTTCTGGCACGTTTTGTATATTAATCTTATTATTCGATTTTTTATTTTTTTTTCAATTGTCGATGTAGTTGGCAACTCTGACTGGCCATACATACCGGGTATTGTACCTTGCAATTTCACCGGATGGACAGGTATGTAAAAGAAATCAGCTACACGATGTTCGAAATTCAAGTTCAATTTTTTTTTTTTTTTTCGTCATTGTTTTTCTCTTACTGGGTTTTTTTTAGACGATTGTAACAGGAGCAGGAGACGAGACGCTCAGGTTTTGGAATGTCTTCCCATCACCCAAGTCTCAGGTTACCACTCAACTTTCATCATACTCATACTCGTTCACACATTTGCTTCGTCAAAAATTGATCTTGGCTCGTTTTACGCATGCACTTGATGGGGATAATTTTATTTTACCTGCCATACTTATTGTGTTTGCACTTCAACTGAACTTTCTAATACTAGCCAAATACCCCCCATTTTGCAGAACACTGATAGCGAAATTGGAGCCTCGTCATTTGGAAGAACCCAGATTCGTTGATGATGTAAAGCCATTCGTTTTATTTATTTCACAACATTTTTTTTTTTATGCTCCATAAACGATGAATAGTTACGTCTCTCTGGCACATGGGAAAGAAATGCATACCATATGAAGAGGGCAAAGCATCAGCAGAATTAGACGAAAAGAGTCGATTGTCCTTGCAATCGTGCAGAATTTTAGATATATGATGGCGAACATTCTCGAATTATTACCTATTTGTTGTACAGTTGGAGTTGTTATGTAATGCCTCTTTACATCTCCTATTAGTTCTCCATGATTTACTGAGGATACATGCATGTTTATGCATTAATAAGACACTCGAGTGATCAACGTAACAGCCTCAATTTTGAACCCAATGCTTGTTTATATTTGATCACTTACACTCATTTTTCTTATAATAATAGCTTTGAGCCTTGAGAGAGTAATGAAATGTAAGCGATTGGATATAAAGAAAAATATAAACAATCATTACATGTCTTCTAACTTAATATTCATCAATTCACATGTTTCTAACTACCAACTATATTTTATTATTTTCATATTACAACATGACATTATATTTTATTTGGTATCATTCAGAAATTCAAAAATAATTTATTTTTCGGTCATTTATTTTTCTTCATTTTTTAACTTATTTTTGTATCCAAATATTTCTTTTTTCTAGTTTGTCGGCATTCAGCCATTAAGGGCGTGTTTGTATACAAGTAATTTCAATTTATACTCAAAATTTAACTAAACGGGTTAGGAAACAACAAAATGTTTTTGGCTCTTTGCAAATTGTATAAATAACATTGGGCTAGGAAAAGAATACATGTATATTGGGCTTGATACATTTAGCTTCATATTTTAAAGTTGCGCAGCCCAAATAACATTGGGCTAAGAAAAAAAATTAATTATTTGCATAAAAGATAATAAAATTAAAAACTACAAAAGTATGTAAAAAGTGAAATAAAAAAAATACAACTGGGAAAAACGGTTAACGAGACGTGTAAGTTTTTCAAAAATAAATATAGAGTTGTCAAGCTCCGTACATATATTATTAATTATTTATTTTCTTTTTCTCTGATCATATTTAACAAGTCTTGGTGGATTTGATATTAAAATTTTATATTTTTCATTTCTAAGTATAAAAATATATACAATCGTCTCGCATTTCTTATCTCTTTAATAGTTTCAATACATTTTTTAAACTAAAAGTACATTATTGTCAGGAACGGATCTAGAAATTAAGAGTAGACAGGGCTAGAATTTTAAAAATTATTTTTCATAAAAATCACATAATATTTTTTCTTCAAATATTCATTGAAGTTGTGCTCGACAAGCTTCAATAAAAAAAAATATTATACTCATTTTGCATCGTATTTAATGTGCTTTTACTAGTTTGATGTTGAACGATGATATTAATTGTGTTTTTCCTTTCTTGGTCGAAGGTTGGTGTTCCATGTGAATTTCTAAAAATTCCACTACAAATAAATAGATTTTCATATGACATAGTTACTAGCAAAATGAAATACCTACACATCATAAATTATATCCAACTATGATATACAACAACTACATTAGAGGATAAGAGATTAAAAAAATACAGACACACACAAAATTACTACTGCTTACACAATCAACAAAAAAGAATTGCAACTAATGATCCTAGCAATTACTATTAAAACCCTAAATAACTCAACTAAAATGAGAAGATAGATAAAGACAATTTGACAAATGAAATAAATATCTAATAGAGGGTTTAAAAATATAGCTTACTATTGAAGAAGAAATTAAATCGTCTTCGTGAAAGTAGTCTCTTTTTGTTTAATTTTTTTCTTCTAAATGAATTGTTCCGATGTTCAGAGGAGAGGAATGACCGTGGTTAATTTATTTAATTGAAGTTTGGTGTATAGTGGTGTTTTGTGGGTTAGTGCCTAGTGAAAATGGTGGATCAACAATATATAACATTTTATTTGAGTGATATTAGTAGTCTTTGGACTTAATAGATAAGTGAATTATTTTGTTGTAGTATGTTGGTTTATTGGGATGACTTAAAAATATAAAAACTTTTTATTTCAAACTAATAATTATTAAAAAAGAAAATAGGCCTGGGCTTCAGCCCATCCCAGGCCTCAAGTAGGTCCGTCCATGATCATTGTTATATGTATATATATGCATTAAATTATTCACTTACATATTTACAATATTTGTCATTATTTTATTAATTTTACCACAACAATTAATGATAAATTTTTTATATTATAATTTTGTAAAAATTATTAACTATCCACTTATTATTTACCAAATATTTTTTCAAAGCCGTATTGTATATATATAAAAATATTAATTTTCTTTATATATTAAAATTAAATTATCAAATCAATTAATTTATTTTTTTTTGATAAATTTATTATTCTTAATTAAATAGATCTATCTATCAAACACATTATAATATAATTANTTTCTTAACACAGCAAACCCAACCCAATTTTTTCTGATTTTTATTGCAAATTTCACGACACAAATATTTGAAGATTTTGACTTCGCCAACGATCAGAAGAAAACCTTAACGCGCAGTAGAAATGGATTCCGCTTCCTCCCCTACGAGCTCCGCCGTGCAGCCGCCGCCGGTCGAGGCGGAGACGGCGGCGAAACCAGAAGGACCGGAGAAGGAGATGGCGCACAGGACGAAGGTGATACAATTCATGGGGCGGACAACGTCTATCATCCTCCAAAACGACAATGGCCCCTGCCCTCTTCTCGCCATCTGTAATGCCATTTCTTTTACTCCATTTTAGGGCTTTTTTTTGTGTCGTTATGCGCATCGTATGCCTGTACAAGCTGGGTAGCGTCTGCATTGTTGTTGAAGATTTTGCAGGAATTGTTGCCTCATTTTTGCAGAAAAGGATAAATGTGGCTATATTTGATAGAAATACGTTGTGGGTGAGCCTGTTGGGAAATGGGATATTTTGAGAATTGTGATTGCGTATGATTTGGTGGGTCGTAGCATGTCTGCGTTCAATATGGATGTTTTTTGGATACGGGAATTGGTTCATCATTGGCCATTTTTTTTGGGTGTTTTGTACAGTTGTTCTTTTGCTTTGCTTGTTGCTTATGGGTATAATGTGGCTGCACTGATTATTGATTGTTCAGAGGGGATTAGTTGCGAAGATGAAGATGTTAAAAATAGCACTCACTGAAATAAAGTGAGAGTTGTGTTTTGAGTCTTTTGACCAGTTGTGTTTGATTGAACTTTTGGTATTACCTGAGGGGCTCGCGTAATCTGCCCCTATGGTTAATAATTAAGCGTAAATATGATTTCACATTAATTCTGTCCTCCACTTATCCGGTGCTAAATCTTGTATAGATAAGTTTTCTGATCAGATTCAGGGTGGGTATCGTATGCGGGAGCGTGTTAAACCTTAACTGTCGTTACCTGATGTCTATGCAATTTAGTATTTTGACATAAGATTCTTGGATTCACTAAATGTTAGTTTTTTTGGTTGTAAAACTCCAAGCTCAAATTAATTTGTAAAGTTGCGGACTTTGAACTTTATCTGGTTGCCTTAAGTTATCTTGATTCTTACTTCTGAAGTATCATTAGAGAAGCCTTTTTATGAATCTTGTAATTCACATATGCTCATCATATTTACGTTTTGCAAATTGTCTTGCCATTTATATTCTACCTTCTTCGCCCAGTTGAATATTTCATTTGCTTCCTTTTATTTTTCTTTTATTTCTATGTTTCTTAGTTTCCTCCTATTTTTTTCTCTTACCGCTGAAACGACAATGAAGGCCTCAAGGAGTGTTCTTTTTTACTCTGTAAATTTGGACTCAAGAACCTACTTTTGCCGATTGGCTGGTTTGCATTGTGAAATTTTTCACTTAAATGATTGTTAGAACATGTGCAATGACGCTGATAGGGTGAAGCTTCACATTATTGTTTGATGATTACTTTCTCACAATTGTATGATAATTTCTCTATGTTATTGGACTTGCAGCTGACTAATTGTGTGCTTGCATATTGTGATAGGTAACGTGCTTTCCCTGAAGAATATTTTGAGTTTGAGCCCAGATATTTCAGAGGTTTCACAGGAGAAATTGCTTTCACTTGTTGCTGAGCGCTTGATTGATTCAAACAGCAGTATTCACGTAATTCCTTTTTGTACTAAATTACGAATACAATATTGTACATTTGTGGTGGAAAAAGATCTTCATTTGAATATTTTAAATCTTCCTCGTAAATCTTTGTATTATTTTATGAACTGGACTAACTTGATTTTGTTATTTGGATTCAGGACAAAGACGCTGGCTATGTCGAAAATCAGCAACAGAATATTGCAGATGCAATTGATTTGCTTCCTAGACTGGCAACTGGGATTGATGTAAATATCAAATTTAGAAGGTATATTTAATTTTGATTCTTTGGCCGTCACAGATCGTACGTGTCAGTATATGCCACTGGATATGCTCTTGACGGCCATAGTGCTGCGTGTACAAAAAGCGTTTGCTTTAAATGTGTATATAAAGGCATATTAACAAACAATTACAATACTTGATGGGAGACTCTACTATTGTTTCTAATGTTGAGGGCCATACATCTAAATTTTTCAGGATTGATGATTTTGAGTTTACTCGAGAGTGCACAATATTTGATTTACTGGATATCCCGCTCTATCATGGATGGATAGTTGATCCACAGGTGTGACTTTTTTTTTTTTTCTTCATGTGCTATTCTGGGTTTTGTATTTTTTCCTCGAGGTTGATGTATTCTTTGTCCCTTTTTATTTTAATTTTTAATTTCCCCCTTTCTGTGAACAGAAAAAGTGTGGGAAAACTACGTAGAATCTTTTCTCATGAAAACAGTGGAACAGGATTAAAGTCTGATCTGATGCACGATTCGCATAATCACTGCACTTAATATGCTGGCAACATATTTTTACGATTTGTTCTTTTATAGATGATTTACTCATTAAGGGTGGGCATTAATCGAAGAGTGCGCAATGCGCATGGTGTTATTTTGTGCTTATACACCCATAAACTGAAATATTTTCATTTAAGTCCTTTATTAGTGTAGTATAGGCTATTGATCTCATTTTGCTTTCGTTGTGAACATCTTGTCAAAAAGCGGGTGAGTGCTGACATTTCATGATGTTTTGTATGCATGTTCTTCAGGACAGAGAAACTGCCAATGCGATTGGTTCGAAATCGTACAACACTGTAGTGGAGGAGCTTGTTTTACTAGAAACACAAGCTGCAGATAGAGAAAACCAAAACGATCCAGAGGATGATGTAGATTTTGTTGCGGCAACAACTGCAGCTCTTGGGGTGCCATCTCCTTGTCTTTCGAGAGGTCAATCTTTCGATGAATCCCCCAAAAAAGCACGAAAAGGAGACACTGAAGAAGAAATAGAGCTCTTACGAGTCATGAAATTATCAGAGGCAGAAATGTCCAGTTCAGTGCCGGATAGTGTATTATCTGCAAATGTGAATTTAGTGGAAAGTCCAGCTGTCGATAAGTCTGAGCTGGTATGTCGTTCAGAAACAGTGGAAAAGAATGATACTGATGGAACTGTAAAGAACGGATCGATTTCTGAAGGTGGCAATGATTTGACCACTCACAATGTCCCAAAGACAGTCGAGGAGAACAACTTTATCGAATGTACGGACAAAGGTTCTACAGAATCTTGTAAAGGAGCAGGTGATATTAAGAGTGATCCTCAGATTGAGAATCAAAATGTTCAACCTGTGCCTGTATCTCTTGAATTTGATTCTCAGCCCACATTTAATGCCTTTCAAGATAAATCCAGAGATGTAGAACATGTTAACATTGAATTCACTTCCACATCTGACCTCGAGGAACCAAAAAACAGCTCAAATGATGATTGCAAAGCTAGAGAGTCTTGCAGCTTGTTCGCTGTTGCTCCAGGCTTAGACTCATCAACTGACCGAGCGCATGAAATTAATAAGCCTGATACATTTTCTTCAAGTATTGATGGCAGTGAACCGATATATGAAGGGGAAGAGCGCATAATGGAATCGGGTTGTGTAAGTTATGAAAATCAAGAGCCTGTTTATGAGGGCGAGGTAGTTCTTGCCGAACAAGTTGGTAGAGGTTGTGTGATTGATGACGAATTTAAGGACAGACTATCAGTCAAACAAGGTTCTGTGTTCCAGAAACATAACAATCATTTTTGCTTATTGGTTATCTTGTTTTATACTTTTATTTATTTTCTTCTAGAAATAAAATCACCTTGTCCTATATTTATTTGTTTATTATTTCTAAAGGTAAGTATGTTGTACTAAGTTGCTTATGAATCATTGATGCCACATCTTTGGTTCTTGTAGGTGAAGTGATCCGGAACTTTTTGAAGAACAGTGCTAGTCAGCTGACTATATATGGGTACCTTCTTACACAGGCTAATTTGCTCTATAGCTGGAATTTACGTTTGGGGATTACAAGGTTCTTGATTGTTTGTTATTTTCTGCAGCCTATTTTGCTTACAAGAAAAAGTTAAGGAGCGCGAACTTTGTGTGTTCTTTAGAAACAATCACTTCAACACTATGTTTAAGGTAAGTTTATGGGGAAAATTAGCTGTATTATTCAAATGGCATTTCTTACTGATTGCTTCTCTATTCTCTAATTAAGTGCACAAGAGTTTTCTTTCTTAGCGATATCTGTCATGTTGTGCTGGAAGCTTATTGCTATACGTTATTGTATATATATTTAGCAAATTTCCATCAGTTGATTGTTTGCCAATGGCCATATGATGTAATTATGTTAGAAGGTGCCACTTTCTGGCATCAGTTATTGAGCATACACGTGCCATCTGTTTTTTCTTGTAAAATTTGCAGTTGCAGTCGTATAGCATCATATGTAAGCTATTTGTTATCTCGTTTTGGAATTTTGATTACTTTATACAGGATATCCTGATTAAGGCATATACAAGAAAGCTCTGAGCTTTAGGAAATATTCTTTTGTTATTTCTTAAATCTTTTATCTGTGAATATTACTTCAAAAATATGTTGAGGTTATATTCTTTTCGTAACTTCTTCCTTGGTGGTGATGATAGTTATTTTCTGCAATTGGGTTTTCTTTTTTGCAGTATGAAGGTGAGTTATACATTCTAGCAACGGACCAAGGTTACCTAAATCAGCCAGATTTGGTGTGGGAAAAGCTGGATGAGGTGAGATTGGTAGTACCGAATTATTAATTACTGACTCTAACCATAAGCTGACATGAGAAATTCTTTGGTTATTTAATTGTTTATTTATGCGCTTACATATCTTCCTGCAATTAGGTGAACGGTGATACTTTATTCATGACGGGAAACTTTACGGAGTTCAAGATGGATGACCAATCCAATAACAGCACTTGGGATGAACAGAATGCCATATCAAGTACAGCTGTACGTAGTAGCAGCTACTTATAATGTTCCAAATCTCCTGGGATAGAGATAAATTAGCTTACGGCTTTTGCTTTGCAGGACTATCTAAATAGCATGGATGGTGTACCACCATCGGGTTCAAGTTTCAAGTAAATTTTTTTTAACTTCTTTCTGGTGACATTTTCCTCGTCTTCGCATCATTCCATGATGCCATGATATAATTTCAGTTTGCTGCTATTTTGGAATAACTTGATTC